CTACAGGATAGTTCTAGAAACAAGAGAGCGTGAGAATTGTCATGTGATCTCGATGACGCAACAATATGTTTTATGAACATGTTTTCTAAAAATTGATTATATTGTAGTGACAATATATCCATAAAAAATGTTTATCCTTTTCTAGTATTTCGTGAAAACAATGTGTTTTGTGTATATTTGGTCATATCCTGTAAGCAGTTCTTGACTAGATTTTTGACTTATGTATAGTTTTATGTTATGTTCAAATGTGGTTCTTGATAAGGCCTTGTAGATTGAACCATTGTGATGATATAGGCAAAGAATTTGGTGAAGGGCAAATGCATGAGGTATAACTTTTCTTTAAAAAATTCCAATACATTTTTTGACTAAATTTTTAAAAATCTCTTACCAAGGTGGAAAAACATTAATGATAATATATGATAACACCACCTATTGGGTTGGAAAGATATTTAAATTGTTTTTGACACAAACAGTCACTAGTGTTTATGTAATATGATAATATCCATAACTTAATCTATAACTGTATTTTTATTTTTCCTAATATTCAAAGAGCATGTTGTAGATATGATTATAAATATATCAAAAATAAATGTAATAATAAAAAAATTAACATTAAGTCCTAACTCCATTAGGATTTGAGCACTAGACTGCCACATAATAGTCAAGCCCCATAACCACTGTGACACCCAGTCTTTGGAGTGTTTACAAGTAATTTAAATCCCTTATGTAAACTATCATGTTATTCTGGTTTTTTCCTACTACTGTAATATCTTGCTCTGAACATGATGAATTAATAGTTTAAAAAGTTATAAAAAGAATCCCCCACTCGACTGTGATTTGAACACAATACTTCTGCTTGAAACAAACCACCAAGCCAATTTGAACATTAATCAACAGAGAGTTGAGATTTACCAACAAAGGAAGCTTTATAAACAAGAGTGTTTTTTTATATACAGATAAATTGGATGACTGCAGCAAATGTGTGTGAATTCAGTATATACAGTATGTACAAATTGTTGTATAAAATGATATTACATAACAGAATAACTCCAGCAACTATGTGAGACATCTATTCTTGGGAGTACAGCCTTTTAATTTTTATTTGGAAGTGTCTGTATATGAGGTAGTTGATTCCATATACGTGGAATTATCCTTAAGAAAGTTTCGTATCTATGAGTAAAATACTTACTATAGTTAAATAGCTGTTCACTTTTTTAACTGTCTCTCCACGAACATCTTTCTCTGCTCATGTCACGAGGTATTAGTGAGTTACATTCAAAATTTAATTAAACTACTTTCTTTTCATGGTATACCAATAAATATAGCATAGAACGTTGCTAATAATCCATATTTTAATAATGTATAAGTCTTAAGTTCTTATTTTTATAAAGCGATATTTAAAAAAATCCAGAATTTCCCTTAGTGTGAGAATTGTGACATTTTCTCTCTAGGCATTCCCTTTTCTCTAATTTATTTACCACCATTGTAAGAAGTACAAAATTGAATGTAAATTACTTATTATAAAATATCATCATTACTTAGGCAAAGCATAATTTTCATAGCTTTCAATCTTATTTGGTTACAGATCCATAAAATAGACAGTTAGACCCTTCTTGCCATGCCCACCTGTCACATCCTCTCTTTCAGAAATTGCCAGTTGTCCTCCCTGACATTCAATACTATATTATTTATAACTAATAGAAAGCCAAGGTATCTATCAAATGATGTATCATATTACGTTGTTTTCTAAGAGTATTGAGTAAAGAGTATTGTCAATTTTGCTTTCAGTTCAAGCTTGATTCCCATGAGAAACACATCGGTGAGCTTAGACGATGTTTTAAAGGCTCTTATCACATAGTTAGAAAGCTAAGAAAATTGTGAGAGTTATGGGGCATTGTCTGTTTTTGCACGTTATTATTCTTTGTTCGTTGGTGCATTATTTAGTTAAATAAAAATTTAGTACAGTACTACCATTAGTGTAAAAAAGTAGGGTTAAGTGTTGTCAACAGAAAAAAAAAAAGATCTATGTAAGTACTTTCTTTCTTGTTTTTCATTTGCATTCTTTATTGGTTATTATAAAAGTAACTGAAATGTAAAAATATTAATCTTTTTGTTTAAGGTTAGGTTAGGTGAAACAAATAATAATAATATAATATAAAATTTTCATGAGGTATACTTATGAGCAGCTAACTCGTGTGTAGTGTAATTCAATAGGGTAACATGAGCTACATGTTCACCGAGTGATTTACAACTTATAATGGCACAAACACAGTAATTAAACAAGGTTCAAAGGGCAATAAAACAAAATATAAGTATATGTATACTGTTTAAAGCTATTTGAGATAAACCAATGTAGTTTCATATTACAATTTGAAGTCATTATAGAAAGAAAAAAAAGGGTAATTTAGATTTATTTCGAATTTATTTCAAATTGACCAAGTTAGGGTATACAAAATAACAGATAAAACGTTTGAAATTTATTTAGAAGGTTTTAGTGATTACACAAATAAAATTTGAGATTTTTGAGATAAAGAAAGGTATTTTTTAATCTTAACTTAGCATTCAGACTAGTATATAGAAATACTATGTATATTCATGGACAAATCTTTAGTAAAAAATACTTCATTAAAAAATCTGATTTTTTGGGTACCTAATACTTGTAATGTTTACTAAAAGTCTGCCAAATTTTGTGAAGATACACACTTTATAGTATGGAAACTGTAATAAGTACATAAGTGGTTATGAGGTTGGTCAATTCAACCAACTTTGTTGTGAGAGATGTAAGAGATATTGGTACATGAAATTGTTATTTGTAATATTATCACCTCTTTCATTAGATTTTAATGATGACAGGGAAATTTAATAGATTCATGATAGTTCTTAATCTGACAGGTATCATTTTCTGTGAATGGAATTAAAATATTTCAAGACAAGATGACATTGCTCCGAGATATTTGGGAGGAAACCAGTTTTCAGCTGGAACTGAGGCAGACAAATCCAGACTGTGTGAATCAAGAGAAGACTGGGTTAGCTACAAGGACCTGCCCACCATACAAAAAAACGTTTGAACCTGTTCAAAGAACACCATATGAAAGTTAGTAAAACTAATGACTATATTTAAATTTTACTTGCTTTGGTTCAGTGACTATGAATTTCTTAGCTATTAGATTGATTGACTTTATTGAATCTCAAGTTTAAAGTTAAATTTACTGCCTAATACTTTTAAGTCAAATTTTGGTTTAAAGCAATTATTTCCTGTTTAAAACTAACTTTTCTAAACAAGCATATTTTCAGGGAACAGGTATTTACATTTTTAATAAAAATTTTAAGTTTTGATTTTGTTTTTTTCTACTTTTATATTTGTGATGCTTTGATTTAAAGAAAAAGTGACTTAATAGTAATATCTAGTGGGTTAACTCTTGAGTTCAGTTGGCAGAGTGTTCTTAGCGGGGGATATCTAATTTGCATCTGTGAGTATTCTTTCCCCATATTTTTTAGGAACTAAATTTATAGATTTTGAAATTGAAAAATGAAATCCAAACTTTGGTGAAATGAATTGTAAAATTACATTGAGATATTGTTGTTATATTTGCTGTTTTGGAAAGCTTTCATGTCATAAGGAACAACTAATTCACTGAAACAAAAGGAAATTCTGTTATTAATTTAGAATACAAGAGTATAGTTTTTTAGAAGCTAAAATAAAACATAAAATAACAATGCCAAGCTTTATTTAGAACCTGTCAAAAAGCAACTGTAAGTTTATCCAGAATTTACAAAGTGTAGAACTTGTCAAACTCAGGTATAACCCAGCTTATCTAGAAAATACAACAGTACATGTCGTATGTACAAACTCTGAAAAATAAGATTAAACTTACCTTTAATTTCAACAACAGTGTAAGCTCATCATTAACTTTCTGAAAGCAAATTTAATGTATCAACTCACTGTAAAAATGTTGTCATCAAACATGTCAAATATACTAATATGCATATGATTAGCTATTAAAAAGCAAGTATAAACTTATATAGAATCATCAAGCCTGTCACAACTATATCAAGTTTACCTATAACCTATCAAAAGGGAGATGTAACATAATCTAGAATTTGGAAAGATAGTTTCAAGCTTATCTATATCCTATCAAAAGGTGAGTGTAATGTAACCTAGAATTCATAAATATAGTGTCAAGCTTATCTAGACATTGCAAAAATAGGTTAAGCATATTAGAACACTTAACTGCTAATCAACATTGTCTCTTTAATATGTACACTTCTAACCACATTCTGTAGTAAAAACTTTAAACAATCTGATGTATAACTAAGTCACATTCGCCAAGCATGTGATCTTGTATGCATAATTTCTTATTCATCACCAAATTGCATGTTTTCTTATGTGTGTGTTTCTAACTTTCTATTGGTTGATCATACACATATTGAATTGCATACAGAAAATTTAAAATCATAAATTATATATTTTTGAATACAAAATTTTATTTTTATACTTGGATAAATGTTGTATTCTATTTTCAGATTTAAAAATTACTTTTAAATTAGTATGTATATAATTCCAATGAAATAGCTTACATAAATTATTTTTTATGTTTATGATGTGTTTGCCTTAATTCAACATTCAATTTTATTTGTTTAAAAGTCATTATATAAATAATTATGTAAAATCTTAGTAAAAAATTATAGAATAATTATACTGAAATCTAATAAAGGCAAGGTTCTAGTTCTGAATAAAATTGACTGTAGTTCTAAAATTAGACATATTTTTAATAATAGTATATAATTTATTAAGTTCAAAAAGGATCCTATGAAATTGCAGAATTATGCATTAAACCAAAAAAGTAGTTATTAACACAAGAATATTTAAAGAATAGACCATCAGGTATTTTGTATGGGGATTTCATAAGACACGTAATGGTTATTGTTCAGCTAGACTCAGTTTCTAACATAGAAGCATATAATCATGTATTGGCTGGTTTCTTTGTTAAGTGTTTAGAAAAATACAGACATAATTATATATTTTAACAAAATAAAAAATTGTAGTTTGTTAAGAATGTATAATGTACAAGTTTCTGTCTGACATTTTTTAAAACTAATGTTCCTTTTGACTGTACAAGTAATAGCTATTTTTTATATCAAAATGAATATGTTATATGGTTTCTAAAGTATATTTTTCAGGGAAAGTGGAAATTTGCCTTCCAGGAATCTCATTTTTTATCTAACCACATTATATATATGATCAAATTGATGATGTTGCAATGGGAACAAGGTTAGTACCATCACTTGCTAACTTGTTCCTTTGCCATAATGAAAACATAATGGTTGGAGAATTGTCTGTCAGTTTTTAAGTTTTATACTACTGAAGGCTTCTTGATGATACTTTTGTCATCTTCAGTGGTTCTTAGCATATTGACCAACTTCTACATCTTAATAATCAGCACAAAAATATAAAACTTACAGTAGAGTGTGAAGAACATTTTGTTGATATACTAGTACATAATGATAATGTCAGGTTTGTTATAAGAAAACATTTATTTTAACAGTTTTATCCCAGGTATATTTGAAATAAATCTGGTTAAAATATTCATTCATTGGGCTTATAAAGTCAGTAGCATGTATTAGTATTTTCATAAGGATCTAGTAGATGTTAAAATGTTCTGCAATAAAAATGCTTTTCCAAGTAATATGGTTAATAATGTCATACATAATTATGTGGATAAAGTAAAAAAAATCTTAAATGAATAAAACTAAGTGATCTAAAATAGATAGCATCTATAATACTGCCATATACATACAGTTAAGCATGTATTAAATGTAAAAATGTGTAAGCTCTTTCATAGAATTTACCCACAAACTGATTTAAGAGTAATTTTTAAGCTTGAGAATAGAATACAACATTTCATATTTAAGAACATCTAATGTAGTATACAAATTTAAAAGTCCTATATATAATTCTAGATATATATGTTCAACTACTAGATGGTTAGAAAAGTGCATAAAAGAGCATTTAGTGGTGAATAAGAAATTGAGCAAACATGATCATGTGCTTGTTGAATATAATTTAGCTTAGTTAATGTAGAACTTGTTATAAAGCAAGTGTAAGATTTCTCAAAACCTCAGTAGCAATGAGCTTAGCTAGAATATTAAATAAAACTATTTATCTTTTACAGAACCTATCAAAAGAGTAAAATATTATCTTAAACCTGTAATGACAATGTTAAAGATATGCAGAATAATACTTTCAAGTGTTTGTAGTTTAAACTATTAGAAACAGGCATAAACTTTTGTGAAACCTGCAACAACAATGGTCAGTTTATCCAAAACTTGTTATAAAGAAGATATAAACACATTCGTAACCTAAAATCACAGTACGAAATTTGTATAAGTTACAACAATTCTAATCCTTCTTTTAGAATCTACAAAACAGTGTTAATTTTACTTAATTTGTTAAGAAACAGGTATTTGTTTCTCCAGAAGCTGTGAACCTGATCAAGGACGTATTAACTCTCTCAACATGGGTTCAGTCAGTTTAACTGACCACTCTTTGCACTCGATTCAAG